TGGGAATATGTCAATCATATCTCAATCCATCAATTTGGCTATAGATAGTGATACATCACGAGGGGACTTACAGAGGATCCAAGCATGCTATCACACGACCGCAACACATAATCTGCACAGCATTTTACTATAAGACATGCCTTTGTCTCACACTCTTAAGTAAATTGCCTGAGAGGTGCCTGTATTGGCGGCCACTGCTTTCATTTGTTTCTATGTTTCAACGCCAACTTGCCGGAGAATTAAGCAATACAGAATCAGCAAGTATTTATCTAATACCACAGACTCAAAAACTTCTAGAGGCCTAATGTCTTGGAGCTCTTCCGACCAGAACATCAGTTTAAGGCAAGAGACTAGGGCATATATTGATGCATCATGATCCTTTAATTCATCATGGTCATGGTTTTGAGAACTGATCCATACTTAAATTATGATTTATCAGCGCCCACCACCTAGTTATGGTTAAGCACAATGCATAGAACCTGTCAAACTGACATTAGTCTCGAGTTTCCCGGTCTGTATTAAAAAAGGTGCAGAACAAAGTGTGGTCATATGAACTTAGATCTCATTTGATCTATGGAATCAATGTCAATTGTCACACAGAGATTATTAAGAATTTAATAAGCAATAATTAATACAAAAATAATCACCTGAGGATAATAGCCATTTGTTGATCCAATACACAATAAAGGAGCCACAAAACTGGATGACCAGATCCTCTAGCTCATTTAAACAGAGTTAGGTGTTGTATCACGTCTAGTGTGGTTTTGCAACATACCTATCAACAGCAAAGTTTCGAGTGGCAGCAGGGATTGCTAAATGAATTCCATCAAGTTCAGGACTTGCAATTATTTGACATCCCAGGCAAGACCTGAAAAGTTCAAGAACATGGCAATCTGTTTAGATTAAATTTCAAAAAATTTCTCTGGAAGATCTGTAGCGAAGGAATTCACGTTTCTGCAAGCCCCGAAGGCTAGGTCCAACATGTCATTTTCCTCATCAGTTGGATCTTCTAATTTATTATATTACTCCATGTCCTTGCAAAAGAGTCAATAGTTAGTCCCTAACAATTAGGCTGAAAGAATATACAAACTATCATAAACCAATCAACGGCATATTTGATCACATATAATGCCATTAGCATACCATCACGATGACATGGCATGTTGAACAAGCAAGTGAACCCTCACATGCTCCTGAATCGACAGTACAAGCAAACATTACATATTAACAATGATCTATAAATTAATTGACCCAAGCAATTAACCCATATTTGGTGTGTTACTAAAACATGTTAACTTAATTTGTATCACAAAAGAACAAGGAGGTTTCAAAACCGCATTATGTTCTACTTTAATTGCTAATGCATCCTTCTTCCAACTAAAACGTGTTTAAGACATATATCACTATGAAAGGACTGAGTAAACGAATTGCTCCAAGAAGATAAAAGTTTGATCCAAGGAATGCTACAAAATAATTAGACCAAGAATAAATCATGATCCTTGCTTTCGAGCTCTATATCGTTTTCATGAGCTGCTTGTAGCGTAGACATTTCAATAGGCACGAGAATGGGGATTCCTTCTCCATCCTTTAAAACAAATGTGACAGATATCCTGCCAAATAAGACAATCTATTGTGAAGAAAAATGACCAAAAAAATAAATTTCAAATTAAATGCATATAGAGCCATTAAGTGTTTAAAGAGCGATGTTGGGAACTCAAACTCCAAGCTTTCAAAGTCTGTAAATGCCATAAATTGCAATCTGAATCCCCCACCAACTAAAAGCGTAAGAGCCACATCATGCAGAGATGGACAATAGACCATAAAAGTAGACCAACAAATGACAAAAGTCCTCCCATTAATGGGAGCTAATGCTACAGATGCTACCCTACCCACAGCTCAGCTGAGGGATTAATTGACCACCAAGATTCAAGTTTGCTTTGAACCTTGCCAAAATATGTCAAAACAATATTGAGTCCTAACAGAAATGCTTTGCCTAGGTAGCTTCAGCGTAGAATAACTTAAATTGACGTTGAAGTTACATCATCATCTCTCCGAGAACTTGTAAATTAAAATAAGGTTTGTGTATTTCTTCTTTCATTTGTGTTAGAGAATTGAGGATTTAAATGATCTAAATAATTCATCAATGCAAGAAGATAAGCACTAAATAAAAGATGCACAACTTCATCCAACAGTCATAAACATCATGGCCAATACAATGTTATTTAAAGAATTTTCATTTGTTTCTGTTCATCCTCTTTCTCAGAAGCATTGTTGGAAGCTGAGGCAGAAAATTCATGATGCTTTTGAAATATGGCACCTTGAAAGGCTCTCGTTTCTGGCAGTAATTCAAGCTGTCCAAAAAAATTGAAGAAAAAAAGAAAAAGATCATGGGAAAAGTTTAATTATAATTAGCTGAAAATGAAAATTTTCATTTTCAGATAAATAGCTAAAAATGAAATCTGTTTTTTTAACCAATTCATTCAAGTGTAATACCAACCATAGGCATATCGTTCTTCAATGTTTCTAAAATTATTCTCTAATTATTATAGCAACTATTGTAGCCTCCAACTTATTAGTATTCAGATCTCATAAAAATGTTTGTCAGCATACTTATCATATGTTCTCACGTAACTGTCATCCAAGTTTTGGTTCAATTTTCCTATCCGCCAGACAAATCCCGAAATTTTCACTATAAAATAACCTTAATCAAATTATTCCATCCCCTTAGTACACAAAATTACTACCGCACTATTTTCTTTCTGTAGATATGATAAGAGACCTGCACTGTATCACCAGGTAGCTAATCTAAAACCACTATAATTCAATTGTATGAACAACCCATATACCTTAAAACTGTGTAAAGCAGAATCAGCTTGATAAAAAGGACAAGCAAGGATTAATCGTGTCATTAGCTCATTGACTAGTCTAGACGCTTCATCTCCTAAAGGTCATACACTTATCCACTATCGGGTGACATAACTAACTGCTTATAAAGAGGCTAATTTAGTTTTTCCCAACTAAAAGTTCCACTTAAATATCGATAAAGTGCTATTTTTTCCAGTTGCATTCAATTAAACTCCACTATTCAAGATTCCTTAGAAGGTCATGCATATGATAAGCACTAGATTAACATAGAACATTGTCAACAACAACCGAAAGCAAGTGTTAACCACCACCTATGTCTTCGGCTGCTTTCTTTCAGTGACTCAAAAGAGATAGATAATGCATGTCAAATTATATTTCTCTTTTGTTGAAATATACAAAAATAACCACCACTGACCAGAGAGCACTGGTATTGCTCACAATGCCTTTGTCTAATCTTGTTCTAGACATATACGTACATCTACCTATAAAAAAAATGCAATTTGGACTCTAGTTAGTAAACGAAAAATCATTTCGTACAAATCATGGGTTATTAAGAACATGAAAAATATACCAATATTATCAAAAGAAATTATCTTCTTAGAAACTACAAGGGTGTCTCATTTTTACTAAAAACAAGCTATAAACATTAATAATGCCAGTTTCCATAGAACTGTAGCATAAGAAATGAACCCAAATTGAAAATAGAAGCATAGCTCTTGATAGCTCTCTGGCAATCCAAAATCCAACTCCAGAAAGTATAGAAATTAACATAATTTTATGTACTAAAAACGCCCCTGTTTAAAGGACAAAACAAAATACGCTTTAGAACTCAAACTTCAAGTCTTTAAAAAACATATCAAATTCCAAAAGAACTTGCTGTTAAAGCGAATTGATCAATAAAGTTGAACAGGGTATTCAGCTAAGCCGTTGCTTATTCACATAGATATATACTTAAATCTCCAGAAAGCGGAAATAACGATGGTACAAAGTGAGCATGGGAAGAAATTTCAAGATAGAATATACCTTTCGCAAAGAGATGAACAGGGGGAATGGTAACGGGGTCGGGTCCAATCACGTCTGTCGTATTTTACGACTGGAGCTCCGACTTGGTTTGAAGATTTTGCAGGCTAAGGGTCGCCACCGGCGGGGCCAGCGGCCGAAGGAAAAAACAGTAAGTGGAGATGCGGGGGATCGAACCCCGTGCCTCTCGCATGCAAAGCGAGCGCTCTACCATTTGAGCTACATCCCCTCGCCCAATGATCTTTTCATTAAATTTTATTAATTTAGTTTCAAAAAAAAAAGTCGAAGGCCCACACCCTAAACCCAAACATGAAATACGGTGACTTTGACTAGATTTTGTCAAAACAGCCATTCCCATTTTATAGTAATTTATATGCCCTCTCCAATGGACACGTGTCATTGAAAATTGTTAACAACGATGTTCTTTGTTTTAAGAATAAGTTATAAATTTGTCATTTACATATACAAATATTAAAATATTTTAAAGTACTTAAAAATTGTTCAAAAGCCTTTCCTTGTGAACATCTATTTTCCTTCATGAATTTCTTTTATGTATGAATGCTAGTAATTCCTTTTGTTTATTTATTTGGTGCAAACATTAGGACTTGAGAAGGCACGTTGTAATAATCATTTTATTTTTGTTTACAGTTACTTGCATTCCTACTCTAAAAAGAAATGCAATAAATAAATAAAATTAAAAAAAAAAGGAAAAAAAGAAAACGTAGGACGGGCTGGGCCTCCTGAGATTGAGCGACGAGGTACGTGCACCCAAAGCTCAAAAAGCAAAGTTTGAGTAATTAGGTGACACGTCAGCAAAAGTTCAGCTTTCACGTTTTCACTTTTCTTTTCCTTTTGGATATCTCTCTCATTCCACCGCACAATTAAAAAAAAACCAAAAAAATTAATTATTAAGAAATAATAATTAAAAGTAATTGTTTTTGGAGCTAATTAAAATTTAAAATTAAATCTGATAATTTAATTATAATATTATGAAGTAATTAAAAAATATAAAATAATTAATGTAATTTTTTAATAAAAATTATATAAATATTCTATACAAAATAAACACGGTACAAACCTATACAAAATCCTTTTAAATTGAATTTCAGCAGCAAAGGCCAAAGAGAGAGACTCTTAGAAGAAAAAAACAAAACGGAAAAACCGGAAAACTCCAACCTCCGACACAGTCGCTTTACCCTGAGAAAATTTTGCTGCGACAATCACTGAAACAACAAATTTACTAGTAATAATCAAAACCCTGAAAAAAAAAAAACCACCAACTTTGATTTCTCTAAGGAATATTTAATTTTTTGGAATCCTCTTTGTTTCCTTTTTTTTTTTTCCCTTTTTTTCTCTTTCAATTTCTCTCATTGGAGAGCTTTGCTTTACTGTTCCCAAATTTCCTCCAAAGCCTCTTCTTTTCCTCCTTTTGTCCATGGCTCTTCTTCTTCGGGTTCTCTGCTAACTCCTCCCCCCATATTTAGGTAATAATTTTTTTCTATTTTTTTCTGGTTTAATTTTGCATGTTCTGTTTTGCATAAAGATTTTTTTGTTTGTTTTCTAAGTAATAAAAACTGGGTAGGGGTTGGTTTGACGAGGAAGAGAAAATTTTATGTGAAAGAGACAGTTTTGTCTTGATGTTTCATTGTTGATATACTTTTTTTCTTACATGGTTTAAAGTTTCAATAAGTGGTTGGTCCGAGATAGCAGCATTTGGATTGGACTTTTCTGGTATAGATTTAAAAATTTTAGTAATTGAAAAACAAAATCAAATTTATGGGGATTTTCATTGTTAGATTGCCATCAAGCCTAAAATATTGAAAATTAGGCTTTAATTTTGCAGATATAGGAACTAGAATGTTGAATTGAAGTTTATATATGTACGTAGTCATATTAAGAATATGTTGGTTTGATTTAGGTGAAGGAAACAGTAATATTTTTGAATTTTACATGCCCTTTATTCATGACTTTATCCAAATTTCTTCTAAAGGTGCTGGTGAATTTGGTTTAATCATGGACATTTATGTATGCACATGTAGTGGAAGATCGAAACCCAACAAGTCCAATCCTGGGTTTCTTTTCACTATTGTGGTGAAAATTTAACAATGGATGACCAAGGCGGTAGCAAGTTGACCGGAATCCGGCAGATTGTTAGACTAAAGGAACTCCTTCAAAAGTGGCAAACTGTCTCATTAGGCTCAAGGCCAAATATCCCCAACTCACAGGAAAATCATGGGGGTGTCTCACGACCAATTAACAAAAGGCTAACAAATGTTGCGTGCTGCGATTCTGATGAGGAAAGCTCCCATGGTCCTCAGCCACCGCCTGATGTTCCAAAGGGATATTTGGCAGTTTATGTTGGGCCAGAGCTTCGGAGGTTTATCATCCCCACGAGCTACCTTAGCCATCCTGTCTTCAAGATTTTGCTGGAAAAGGCTGAGGAGGAATATGGCTATGATCATAATGGCGGACTCACTCTCCCATGTGAGATTGAGACCTTCAAGTATCTCCTGAAGTGCATAGAGAACCATCCAAAGGGTCAACCATTTGATGGCTCAGTTTGAACAGGCCCTTATTTATTTTTAGCTAAAAGCATTTACTTTGTATGCCTATCTCACATGCTCATGGAACAAGTTCATTGCTCATCTTTGTTGTTCTTATACTGTTCCCTAATATGAAGTTTCTGTATGATTTTGCAGCTGGAGATTCATTAAACATTGGGAAAGAGTAATTGTGCTGGTCTTTATATTGATCAAGAACTTTGGGGTTAAAGCAAGGTCTCTCTGTATGCAGATTTTTTCTTTCACTTTACTTTTTTCCTTTCTGGTTAATTGAGAAACAATAGGAAACTTTTAGTTAGAAAATTTTCAGGTGTATGAAATGAATGTGACGAGAGGGGGCAATGTTCTAACCTCTCTGTCGTTATTGGAATGTGACTGGCATCTAATGTTTGATTGATAATGAAATACTTTTATTGTTCAGAAAACCATGGAACATAAAATTGGTCCCAAATTAGAGTTCTATGAATTCCATCTCGAATTGGGAGACATTGAGTGAGATCAGTGTGATTGTATCTTGTTAACTTATTTATTGTCCATTGCTTAGTCGAGTTAATTCACTAGGAACAGATATCAGACATTCTTTCCTCCTCTTCGCAGCCTTCATGTCATCCCCTTCATACATCTGTTCCAAGACTAGTCTCTAATGCTGGATGACATAAATTGTATTTCCTTCATATTGTTGTAGGTTTCCTGTTTGGCTAAATTGAATATTAGGAAACTTTGGGGTGGACAAAATGACATTTCAACTTGTTTTTAGTCTTTGTGCAAATCCTACTATAGTTAGTTGAATGAAAAACACTGGTATCAGTAGTTTTGTTGGGGTGCAATGCAAGTGATTATATATTATAGTATTGTCATGTGCCTTTTCAATAGGCTGCTCCAAACAAATCTTATAATTGAGCTGTCCCTTTCTTTGTTAATTCACCATGATGTTGGTGAGAACAATGGTGGTAGCAATATTAGAATTTATGACATGTATTCATATGATTATTTTCAAAGGACTAAAGCACTCAAAACTCTATGCTCTTCCATTTTTTCACTAGAGGAATTGATAGTACTTGGCATGAAAGTTGAAGGCTTCAATAATGTGGGGTTTTCTCTTTCCCTCTCAGCCTCTTTATTCCTTTCTTTACTCTCGTTATTTAAAGCCGGTCCTGAGTGGTTTGGGCTATGACTCAGCTCGGAAAAGAGCTTTGGAAAGATTGGTTCGGATGTGAGTAGATTTGGTAAATCCATATCCATAGGCCATGTTCAGGGTGAAAGGAAGTGACGGCCAGCTTCTTTCTTTTTCTCAATAAGAAACAGATGGGCTTCACAAATGTTTCTCAATCCAATTACTAGGTAGTATTATTAATCTTTAAGCCACATTTGACTCGATTACGATCATTTCATTCAATACATCGCATGTTGGCTTTATAGCCTCTTGGAGCCCCGTTATAGTTCCAAGCCCATCTTTAGAAAGAAAAGGTCCATTCTGCAAGATGCAATTTTTTAAATAAATATCATAATTCGTATATTTATATTTATTTATATTATGTTAAATAAATGTAAAATATATTTTTTTAATTTTTTATTAAAATTTTATATCATAGAATTTTTTTCATAATATTTTTATATTTTAATATTCTATTGTAGTTAAAATTATCAAATAAATTTTTAAAAATTTTAAATTAAAAGGATAGTTGCAACAAACGTCCGTCCCATTTGCTGTAAGCTCGAGGATAAAAGAAATTATCCATCTACTATTCTAAATTGTTGCTGATTGTAACAGACGTCCTATTTGCTGTAATCTAGAGGATAAAAGAAATGTCCATCTACTATTCTAAGGAAAAAAATTGTCTGTAGCCATTCCAATTCTATAGCTTTAACTCATTTAAGAGCAATTTTTCCGAGATCCAACTTGAAGCAATTTCATAGACTCTAGACCAAGCAACTACTGCTAAGAGCAACCGGCTAGCAGATAGGATCGAATCACTGATCAACAACCGCATTCGGTCTCAACCCGTTAAAAGAAGAAAAAGCGCAAATTCAAATAACAATCCTTTTTCTGGCGAAAAAATAACAACAACAGCAACCATTTTTGTATCGTCTGCAAAAAGTAGAACGACAATGTCCAACAAGCTGCCAAATATCAAACAAAACTTCATAGCTTTTAACTTGACAACCCCACGCAACTGGAAGCATTTTCAAACTTTAAAGCAAGCCTCCTCCTTATAGCTCCATACTTGGCTTCAAGTTTCTCCCAAGGATATATAATAATACATCCTTTATCAATCCCCAGGAAACATTAATTCAAACTTTCCATTTTTTTTATATTTAAATTTGTCATTAGATATTGAATTCTGATTATTAAAATTAAGAATCTAGCATTCTAATAATAAAATATACTATTGTTTCGAACTTTCCATTTTAAGCAGCCGGATATGTGGACTCAATTTAAACTCCTTTAGCTCCAATAATTCCATCTATTCAAAGCAATGATACCATATTTGATAAGAACGATTAAAAGTGGTAGTAGTAGCAGTAGTAATTTCGATAACCAGACAAGCAAAGCTTTCTCGTTGCCCCTTTACTTAAATCCCGACATAGAAGGTAAAACAGCACGTGCCTTAAGGTGGTTATCATCTCGGCTACTCCTACATATATAGAAGATCAGCATTCAAGATGTTCATTATCGTCATCCACGTCAAGTTGGTCCTTTCTTATTTCACGTGCATGGTTGCTTGACTTTTTTTTTTCTTTTGACCTCTGTCTTAACTGAAATCCTGATTCAAGAGCATTTCGACAAAACAAAATCACAAACTCTTTTTCTTTTTTATTTGAGAGGATGAACCCATGGTTTTGATTGGTGCGAACGTGGGATTTTAGACATGAGAACATCACATGTAATGTTGTTCAATTGGTTTTGAACTTTTGGATTGTAGTGGCTACAAGGTTGCTGTTGAGTGCAAAAATACATTAATGTTTCTTGAACGAGACCTATATATGCTTGAATGCAAAACTTTAGCCCCCAAACAAATTTATCTCTTGAGCCACCCATGAAAATGATAGCAAAATTTTGTATTTTAATAAAAGAAAAGTAGCCAAATGAGCAACTTTTCCTTTGAACGTTATATTTTGTTACTCAGATCATGCAAGAATACAAAGACCGAGGATCTACCCTGATCTACAATATATTAACTAAACGACATAGCCATACAAATCCTGATACGTCTCATACATCCATGCCTTCACTTTAACATGCAAATGGGTATGCAACTCATGAATTTTTGTATCTGCTCCGAATGGGAAAGGCCCCTTAACATTATCAACACTTCAAGTTGTTTCGTGTCAACCACAGACATGTGGAGAGTTGAGTCTTGGACCACAAAACAGGCATGAAGACTCATCAATGGTTCGAAGCTTTCTTTTTTCTTTTTTCTTTTCAGATTTTGTCCTTTTCGGGGCAGTTTTCTAGGCCCCCCTTCTCATTGTCTTCTAAATGTATATGTTTAAGGACCGTAGACATAAATCTTTCTATCCCATTCCTACCATCATTCGGTTTCCATTCATGTGTATCTCATACATAAAAAACAAGAGGTTGCCATGCCCTAAGGTTTGGAGCCCTTAGAACCAAGGTGCTACTTAATGACAAAAACTGAAAACTAGGTACTCATATGAGTGGTTCAATGAACAAAAAATATCATGCATGTGTGATTCTCGAGATCACTCACTGAGTTGCCGAGTAAAAAAACTGAAAAAAAAATGTCTCAATGAACAAAAAAACTGAAAACTAGTAACTCGTATATGTATAACTCAACTTTCCTCTGCTGCATGAGTGAGTTTGCGGGGGAAGAAAGAGAATCACACGAAAATCCGATCTTCAAAATAAAATTAACAAAAAAAACAACAATTATTAGGCATAATTGGGGACAAAAACTCCTCAAGTAACACGGACCTCTCATCACTCCAAAATCCAAAATTCCCCAACCACCTCCCACGTGGGCTGCTCACCTTTCTCTCTATAGTTGAGCTTAATTTCTGACTGACTCGAGATCAGTCACTGAGTTGCTGAAGTTGAAAAGACAACTATACCCTATACTGCAGCTTTAATTTACACAAAAGGACACGGAGGAGTTGAAGCGTAAGTTGCTTTGGGGGCATCTTCTAATTCTTCTCTTAAAACGCCGCAAAAACCGGCCGTGTCTTTGTGCAAGGTAGCTTGCCCAACTTTATGCAAGGTTCATTTCGTCTTTTCCGTTTCTAATGAGCATTACACCGCTCATAATTTATCCATCATTTTTTTTAATTAAGATCAAATTATGGAATTAATTGTTACTCATGTGAAAATTAAAATTTAATTCATATATAATAATTTGAATAAATTTAGATCTTATAATTTTTTAGACATAAAATGTTAATAAAAATTATAACACAATTATAAAATCACAGTTAAATTATTGATGTGATAATTTTTTTAAGCATGTGGACGGATGATGTGAATTTTTTTTATTCGGGATGCAAATGTCATGCCAGCAACATTTTTTCCTTTTTTGATTTTTTTTTTTAATTTTTACTTTATCTTCAATCTCATAATTTCTATCTACTTAACGTATAAGATATTATAGGTGTATTTGGTTGAAAATTTTTAACATTTTGAAGAATTTTCAAATGCATCAATTCAAAATAATAAAATTTTTAATTATATTGTTTAAATAATTATTTTTTAGAAATTAAAAATGATGAAATGAAAAATAATTATAATAGATAAATAATGATATTAAAGATTAAAAAAAAACAAAATACTAAAAAAAATATGTAATAAGTCATTAGATTTATAAAAATGCAATATAAAAATTAAAAAAATCATAATAAGTTTTGTAATTAAAATTTTAAAAAATAAAAATTGTATAAAGAAAAGAAACATGGTAAATATTAATTTCCTACCATAAAACTAAAGAATTTCACAAATTTCATTTCATTAAATAAAATTTGAAAAGAAAATTTAAACTCTTCTATATTCCTCTTTTGCATTTCAAGAATTTTGACAATTTCATATTTTGTTTGTCAAATAAAGTAGTTTCAAAACCTGTCATTTCTAAAAATTTAATCAACATGCATATTATCATTCTAATATAGGGATTGATAGAAACAAAATCAATGGATGTACCATAGTGCCTGATAAACTTGGAAGCTACGTGCAATCAAGTGTGAAAAAAAAAAAAATAATTAAGCACCAGGCATTGGGGGGTTGGGTACTGGGGTGGCCATGGCAGCTTGGCAAACGCGTTGCGGTGCTGCTAATGCGTGTCAATGAACAAAATTTTCGTGTCTTCCACTCACCAAAATCCTCCATCACCACTGCCACACACAAAAAAGTTTGTGCCTAACCAACAAAAATCGACAAAGCTAGCAGAGCGTGTGGCTATATCTCAAGAAAAAAAAATGGAAAAAGCATCTCTAACAACCCAATCATTAGCAATTTGAACCATACATTTCTTAGTATAATTTGCGAATATTATAATTCAATTTGTCGAGTAATTATCAGCTCTTCTTTTTCGTTTGCCTTGTTGTTCATCCCACAAAGTTGTCGACTTCCTGGCTCCGGCATGTTGTCCCAGAATCTGGACACTTTTTTTTTTAGCTACCTGCCCTTGCTGATGCATTTTTGTAATGGAAAAAAGTCACATTTCAGGTCTTTGATTTGCTTATTTGGGGCAATTTCCCAGAAAGGCTGGGGCATGCCAGCAGGTTACTTCATTAATACTCTAAGTTGAATAAAATACTAACCTATCAAGACAAAAGAAACCAAACAAAAGAAGGGATTTGTGCTTTGGTTCCCAGATGACAAGAGAGAACTCTTGCATGAGATGATTGAGGTTGTACCCTGATTTCTCTGTCCAGCACTAAAAAATATTATTACCATTTTTATTTAACTTAAACTTTAGGATCTTTAAACAGGCTTTTCACATCTAGAGCACTTTTTTTTTTTTTTTAATTTGATGCATTTTATATATTGTTAATTGATGTCATTTAATTTATTTTATTAATAAAATAATATCATACGATTCATTGATAATATATCAAATATAAATTATCTGTCGAGACTTTATTTGACAAAAGTTGTAGGGCAAATAGGCAATGCAACGAAGTACTCCATAATACTACTAATTTCTACAAATTCAAAATGTGACTGAAATTTCCAGCCCCAAGAGAAAAGAGAAAGGGTTTTATTACTTGAGGTTCCTGAATCCTGAATTCTTGATAGGCTTTTCTCATCTTTCTGGGGGAACCCTTTTCTCGCAACTTTTTTTACTTTTGCTTCTCCCTGGGGCCAAATTTTAATCATATCATCAAACTTAACATTTTTCCATTTGACAAACTGTACTTCACTTGATAAATAGACATTGTTAGGGTCACGATACGAAGACAAACATAAAAGATGGGAGAGCCCAAACCTTGTTGTACTGTACTTTGAGATAAAGATTGAATGACAAGGATTTCAACATTTCCCCCATATCTCTTCTCCAGTTTCTTTGTCAGATCAAATCATTGAAACCATACAAAAATGTGACAGAGTTCTAATTTATATAAGAAAAATGAACATTAATCTCTTATATATAATTATATAAAAATGACAATTAACAACAATGATACACAAATATAATCCCCCAGGCTTACAGATTAGCCGGCGTGCACTGGGTTAAATCCTCACCGTCGAAATTAACTCTCTCTCTCTCTCTCTCCATCTGATCTTCCTTCAAATTTTAATCAGCGCAGTCCCTTTTCCTCTCTACAATCATTTCTTGTTTCTTCAACACCGCCTAATCACATTATTATCATTACATAATGTACAACTTCGGTACCATGCGAATGACCGCACGGGAGCATTTCTTTTGATCTTCAAAACAATCAACAAGTGTAAAACTCAACAAGCTCCTCCAAAGACTCAGGTTGAGGATCAGCATTTTCGAGCATCCAAAGCAAGTGTTCGAACAAGACAACCTCGCACGACACGTTGATGACGGTGTCGTTTTCGCCCGACCGTTCAGCGAGTTCCCGGAACAATGGGTTGTCAATAATGTCGGAGCGAATTAGGTATCGCCTACGCGATTTTCCAACGTAGACAGGATGGAGATTGGCCGATGATTCCTTGTCGATGTCCGAAGCCGCCACCTCTGAGCTTGATGTCTGGCGGCTTTGCTTGTTGTGGAATGAGTTTAGCTTCTTGAGAACTGACTTGAGCTTGATTAGCTTGTTGCTGCCTTTAGCCATTTTTGGCAGTTTGAAAGATTTTCAAAGAGTTTTGTGACTTTGTGAAGAGAGGGTTTTGCCTGAGAAAAGAAAGCGGATGTCTGTGAGCTAAGAAAGGAAGGAGGTTCGTTTATAAAGGACTTGGGGAGGGTGAAATTGTAAATTCGATGGAAATGCTGTTATATGAGTTGGGCCCAGTGAGGGGTTAGGGTAATGTAAAAAGATGATGGGCCTGCTCTTTCGGCGTTCTTGTATGAACTATGGGTTATAGTTCTACAATCCATCCTTAGGCTTAGTTTGGAATCCACTGGACTTCCAGTCAGTGAGTTGCGTTTAGGATTTTTTGTTTTTTTTTCTATTCAATCGCACCAAGAATGATGTTTGGGTAACATACATTATGGTGCAGTTAGATCTCTAAATCGCACTGAAGAGTCAGTGGAAGATTGGGGCTTTAAGGGTCCAGTGGACAATTGGTCTCCCAACTGGACCCTTTTATCTCCCATTAAATTTTTTTTATTCCTATTTTGTCTTAACATTTTCTTTTTTTTTTTAATTTTATTTTTATTTAAAAATTATAAAATATTTTTATTAATTTAATATAATAAATAATTTTTTATTAATTTTTACTACTATTTTTATTTTTTAATTAGCAAAACTATTAATTTATTTAAAAATAATTTAATAATTTTTAATAATTTATTATTTATTATTTTTGTAAATATTAAATGATTTAAAATTTTTATTTTATGGGTTTTATGGTCATTTTCTCTTTTTACTACAATTTATCTTACCATCACCACTACTTTTATCTCTCAATATATATTTCAATGTTGATTTTAATCTCACCGTTACAATAATTAATTTTACCTTCATAGTTATTTTTAATCTTATCAAAATCAGTCTCACTGTCCATTCAAATGGATCTTTAGTTTTTAAAATTTTCACATAAAATGACCTTTGTCACCTATTTGGACTTTGGTGTTTAATTGAATATTTTAGCATGATTAATATTTTGAATTTAGAAGTTTGACAACAAATTTATGAGGTAATTATTTTAAGTAGCTTAATTTTTTAATAAAAATAAGAGGTAATTAGAATTTTTTTTTTTAATTTCAAACCTAAAAGTTGTTGGACGTATAAACACTTAATCCTTCTGTGCCTCTTGAAACGAAAATATTAACAGAAAGCTTGCGTGACATTTCATTACATATTAAATTGTCATGGTTCAATGAGATTTCAGGTCTCTGATGGCCATGGCTATGGCTTTATCTTTAGCTTTGGCAGGCATTCGGATAAGAAATGATTGGCTTGCGGGCTGGCTTCAAGTTTTGTTTTACAAACAGGTGGCTTTCTTTCTAAATTTTAAGGCCAACTTTCCTCTTTGGGTAGCTGCAACTTACTCCTTTCAACCTTTTAGTGGAATAATGTTGACAATTATTCTCTATCCAAGGCAGCCTCTGCCACTGAAGAAACTGAAAAATACCATACAAGATTGATATCCCGTGTTACATAGATACGTTGATCACGGTACTTAAGCTTATGTCATTCTCAGTTTGTTTAGTTAAGAATTACTGTGGGTCGATGATAATGGTTTTATGGCGTTGTCTAAGACGTTCGAAATAGAAAAACAAACTGAGAGAAAAAAAAGACTGACCAAAAAGATTTATCATGAAAAACAAAAGTCATAATCTTTTGCTGGAATTGAAGAGGGCAACACCCAAGTTCAGACAATGCCGGAAAAGAAAATGAAATACAAATGAGGCTTTTTTTTTTCTCTCCTCCAATCAAAATTCCAAAAACAACAAACATTATTCTCAGGAATCCCTGAAAATACTTCCAGGGAAACCGGCTCATTGTTTCAACGCCTTCGATTTACTCCTCAACTGCCAGCGGAACTGATTCAGCCTGAAACAATTACAAACACAGTAACAATGTAGTTAGTTGAAACTTCCAATTGGAACCAGATAAAGAGAAGAGAAACTGAAGAAATAAAGGAAATGGGCATGAGAGGTACCAGCTTGCGGTACTTAAGAGCGTAAAACATCTCAAGGTAACGACGGCTCTCAAGGCGGTCAAGCTTGGAAACGTGCTTCCAGAAGCCATACACTCCGGTCAGGGTCAATAGTCTCTCTGAGTAAATCTGCCATGTGTATCTGATTTGACCAATGCAAAGAAATAAGAACATTAGAACAAAGACCAACACAATAAAAAATGTAGTTAGCGTAAGCCAAAAGAAGAGAAAATTTGTGAGCTTACTTCTCCTCGATACGTTTCAAGCCTCCCTCGGAGATCTTGTTCCAGTGAGATGGATCTGTCTTACACTTCTGGAAGAAGTCGACAAGGATCTCAGCAGCTTGATCGCCGTGGTAAGGATCAATGTGGAAGCCAGATTTACCGTTAACAATAATCTCAGCAGGTCCACCATTGCAAGTAGCAAATGTCGGCAAACCACATGTCATGGCCTCGACAACTGTCAATCCAAAGGCTTCGTACAAAGCAGGTTGTACAAAGGCACCCTTTGTGTCGCAAATGTAACGGTAAAGTTCACCGTTCCTAACTCTGTTCATTTGGGATGATATCCATCTGAATTGACCATTCAACTTGTACTTCTCGATGAGATCAAACATCTTCTTCATTTCTGCCTTCTCTTCCAAATCCTTGGATTCCTTTCTCCTATCTCCACCTACTACTACAAGGTTAACCAATTCGCGCAATTTAGCGTTCTTGCCATACCATTCAACAAGTCCAGTTAAATTCTTAACACGGTCTAGCCTTGCCATTGTAAATAGAATTGGCTTGTTGCGGTCATTTAGCAGGCATCTGTTGGACAACAACAGGCAGATTATTAGGTCAAAGGATATTTTCGTATCGGGTGTGCTAAAATAACATGCAAGTAAACTTTCTGGTGAGGTGCACTTACAAGTGTTCTTCATTCTCAACTTTGCTGTAAAGAAGTTCTTCAATCTCGGGATGGAAATGCTTCAACCTCCTCTTCTCCTCGGTGTAAGGGTAGTATATGCTCATGTCAGCACCGGGGGACACGATGTTGAATTTGGGATCAAACACATCAATCCCATGAACAACACGGTAGAGACCAGGAAGAGTGAAAGCAGTGTGACTCTCGTATTGACCAACGGTGTCCTTGCTGAAATCATAAGAATATAATGTTAAAAGGTCTAAGAGAAAGGCATTTCAAGAAAAAAAAAAATCAAATCAAGTGCTCAGAAGGTAGATCATCTACCTTCCAGCAATTTCTTGAAAAGTACTGGTGATGATGAAATCTGTATGGTTCATCGCAAAAAGATCAGCCGTAAATTGGCACGAAAAATGGTATTTATCCTCAAGCTTCTTCCAGTATATATCTGAATCTGGATACTTTGTCTTCTCCAAAGCATGGGCAATGGTACACTACAGAAGGATGAAAAAACAAGTCATTAAGCCGAAATATGATCAAAGATAAACACAAAAGATCCTAGTAAATTGGTTTCTAACAAACCTGTGTAACTCCCAACTTATGAGCCAGCAAGGAGGCAACAATATTGCCATCACTGTAGTTTCCAATTATCAGATCTGGCTTGCCTTGCAACTCTTTTGAAATTTCATGAGCAACATCCTTAAAACAAAGAGAATTACTTGTAAATAAAACAAACATAATATAATATAATGCCAGAAAATGAATGGTTCATATGGTTCACCTCTGTATAAGTTTCCAAGTAGGGCCAGACTTCAAATCTCGAGATCCATCTACGTACAATTCCCTTCTCGGTTCTGAAGGGTACTCGAAGAATATCTGAGTACTCTGTTCCATATACTTTCTCAAATCGTTGACCACAAGTTGTTCCCACAGCATCAGGGAGAAGTCTAGTAATCTAAAAAAACCAGAGATATAAGCATAAAAAAAGGTCAAAATCATATATGAGAAACAAACCCAAAACAAAAGTTCATAAATGCTAGTAATCAAGAACTCTCACAATTAGGATACGAGGGGTAATGTTGAGTCCTTGCTGCTTGATACGGTGGAGCATCTCATTCTCCAAAGCACGGACTTGATCCAAGATGTAAACAACCTACAAGGAAAAGTTGAAAGAGTTGTATTTACAAACTTAGTTTATACACAAATTACACCATCCAATTCTTTTTATCTCTTTATAAACTAGGCTTGTAAGGCTAACCTGGCCACCGGTGTCAGGGTACCCCAAGACATTGTCCTGAGCAAAGTATCCATGGGGAGTAAGAATCACAACATTGAAGACCATGGGGACTCTCCCAAGGAACTTCTCAAGGGTGCAAGGATCAGGTGCCTCGAGAAGATCCAAAAGGAGTTGGATCATCTCAAGCACACGCTCGGCGGTATCACCCCAACCTCTCTCCAAACCAATTTCCTGGAACTTGTGTTCAAATTCGGCATATGGTGTCTCAGCGGGCAGTGAACCTAGATACTCCTCTGCCTTTCTCAAAACATGTTGGAGAGCATCCAGGTTTTGAATTCTGTCATTCAACATCATGTTCTGCAAAACACCAACTAAAAACCTCAGGATTTTAAATCCGTATAAACAATAGAATTTTCCATCATTTAATATTATACTAAGAACCTAGTAAATCTATGGATCAACAAGCAACAAATCTATGTCTGATCTATGCACATGTCAACTATTTTAACTGATAAACAAATACAAGCAACCAATATTTATATGTTCCGTACCTTGCCCTTGTGACAGTGGACTCTGAGGAATTCAAGCAAGGGGTGCATGCTTTCCTTGTCATGGAACAATTTTGCCGAAAGGTGGCGATTGAGGAACTCCACACCATTACCAATCGACTTTGAAAGAGTTGGGCGAGGGAAAGATGCATTGAAGGGCTCAAAATCCAATTCCAAAACAAAGTTGCCATTTGCACTGCAAGCAAAGCAAAGAAAAATTGTTAAAAAACCAACCTTGATATTCAACAAAAAACATGAACTATTGAAGTTACCTTCCGTCAACAAGCTCTTCCTTGAAGTGAAGATATTCGGCAACAGTGAGCTCCTCAACAACAAGAGCGTGGACATTCACTCTAATGTACTCCCAAACACCAGGCCTTGGACGAACAGCAAGTGCAACCCATGGAGGTAACACGATCGCTTCCTATAACATCAAAACATGACCAAAATCAAGATTTTATCACAATAGAACCCGAAAAGAGAAAAAAACAATGTTTTCTTTTACCTGACTAGCCCTCAATATTTCAGAAAATGCCCCATCAGCGAGCTTCTTTCTGT